CTGGGGGGGAGGGGGACAATGAGTGTTAAGATTATAGCATGCTGCCTAGAAAAATCACTGGTATCATTCAAAAGAGAAATTTTAGAAAATAGGCAGATTTTTTAAAAATGTACACAATTGAATATTTGAGGATATAATGAAGAAGAGGAGGGGGGTGCGTAAAGACTGGTCAGCAGGTGGAAATAGCAGGCAGTGCACTGCAGGGTAATGGTTAACCACATGGACCTTGGAACCAGGATGACCAGGTTTAAATCTTAACTCGGTGCCTGTGTGACCCTGGCGCAGTTACTTAACTTCGCTATACATCGGTTCCATGTCTTTAAGATGGAGGTGATAGATGTACTTACCTCAGAGGGTTGTTAGTTAGGCGTCAATGAGTTAATGTATGTAAAGCAACGAAGACCATGTCTGACACATAGTCATTTCAGGATTAGCTGGTCTTTCAAGAAGTTGAGCAGTGACCAGCGTAAGGAAGTAGGGAGTATGAGAAATCTTGGACAGTAGCAGAGTCAAGGGGAAAACAAAGAGTAAAGTGGAAAAGACAAGAGCATGTTTGTAAACATGGGAGAAGGAGAGATTAGGGAAAGGTAAATGAAAACAGGAAGATGAGCACATCGGGGAGAACCGGCCTTAAAAAGAGGAAGGACGCAAGTTCTGACACAAAAGGGAAGGTAGAGAACAGAACAGGAGACAGCAGTGTTTCAGGAAGTAACAGGTGAAATGACACGCAAAGTCCACATACTGGTCTCAGTCTCTCCACTAGAGGAAGAAAAGGTAGCAGTGAGAATTTTAGGGAGTCATCAAAAAAAGTTATTCAGAAAAATTGAAGATAAAAAGGTAGTCACTAATGATGAATAAAAGCGCTGATAATATCAGTGAAGTGCGGGCCAATTCAAGTGGATTCAGGCACCAATTTTTATGACTTTCACAACACATTAACTATCACCAGATAAAATGGCCTGGTGCGGGCAATGAGGCACAGAGATGGATCTGGTGAGAGCAAATTTCACCACTAACCAAGCGCACCCAGAATTCCTCCTCCTGAATGTCTAGGGCAGCGGTTCTCAACCCCTTTGGGGTCGAACGACCCTTTCATAGGGGTCACCTAAATACATCCTGCATATCAGATATTTACATTCCTCTCTGTAAAAACTCAATAATATATATTTTTAAAAAAATAAAATAAAATATCCTCTACCATTTGAAAATAATTTTATGGTTGGAGGTCACCACAACATGAGGAACTGTATTAAAGGGTTGCGGCATTAGGAAGGTTGAGAACCACTGGTCTAGGGACATCATCCGCCTCTACTTAAACCAGCTTTTCTATTAAGCACCAGACAATGAAAACCACTTCTTATATAATTTTATTACCTATATAGTTTTCAATTTTAACTAATTGTTAATATAAGCATATACAGAAAAGTAACTGATTTCTGTTTTTAAATCCTTTGACGTTAACAATCTATGTGGCCCTAGCCAGCTGGGCTCAGTAGATAAAGCGTCGGCCCGTGGACTGAGGGTCCTGAGTTCAATTCCTATCAAGAGCACGCTCAGTAGCAGGCTTGATCCCCGGCCTTGGTTGGGGTGCATGCAGGAGGCAGCTGATCAATGATTCTCTCTCACAACAATGTGTCTCTCTGTCTTTCCCTCTTTCTTTGACTCTCTCTAAAAATAAGTGGAAAAATATCCTCGGGTGAGGATACTCAATAAAATATCTCTTCCCCTCCCTTCCACTCTTTCTAAAAAATCAATGGAAAAATATCCTCAGGTGAAGATTAACAACAACAAAAAAAATCTATGTGATTTAAAATAGAAAATAAGTTTTTGGTGAAATATGGCAAACTGAGACTCCTTGAAATAAAAGAATAAGAAAGCCATAAAGTCACGGGGTCAGAAAGAATGAAAGGTGACATGATAGCACTGAGATATTTATTTGGGGAGCTAAAATGAGGTGGGTGAGTTCTAACTGATTTCACAGAGGAGAAAACTCAACAACAACAAAAAAAGTGAAGCCCGGCCCTGAACCTCAGACACATTGAGGGACTGAAGGTACCAAGTACCTCTGAACATGGTAGGTAAGGGATGAAAATTAGCTGTAAGCAATTAGAACCCCAGATCCTGCTCTGAAGCCAGTGCAGCAAGGCAACCACACCCAAATAACTAGAGATTTATCCTTTGGGTAAATTCAAGAACAGAAAGCACACTGACGCCTAGAGTGAAGTAAAGTACCTACGTCAGATATTCACCGCCATCCGGACCCCTTCTCCTCCCCCACTTCACCCCCACGTGGGCGGTCGTGAACATCCACAGCCCTTCCCATCTCCAGGCTAGAAGAGAAGAAAACCAACCACCCAGGAAAGAAGACTCATAGGCAAGCCTCACACATATACACAGGGTGTCTGATCAGTTTTTGTATCTGATACTTTAACAAAAGTGCTTTCCACTTTTCAGTATAATATTATATAATATTTCAGTTATATTATGGAAGTTCTTTCTGTCCCATTAATGCATTCCCAGTTCTTAGAACAGCACCAAGTACACATTAGGTACTCAGTAAATATTTGATGAATGAACTGAGTGTTTTTAAAATCTGTTAGACTCTCATAGAGACCCAAGAACATCAAATAGGTTATCTTTCTATTTGTAGAGTATCACTTCCTGCCGGTATTGACGGTGTGTCTCTTGGACATCACCTTACTTTGCAGCTCAAGTCCTCTTCATTGCACCTCGATTTCAAACACAAAATTTGCAATAGTCAATTTCTAAAAATGGATGATATTAATTTCCCTTTATAAGGGAAAATAGGTGGTTCCTGTCACTTTATATTTATTAGCGTCTATTCATAAATGAAAGCACAAGAGGTTTTCATTCAGAAAACGAAACTGATTTACAGTCCAGGAGAAATGCGTTAGATGGGCCCTCTAGTGGCCTTGAGGAGCTAATACTTTCCAAAATACCTAGGATTCCTAAGGTATCCACAATTAATAAATACTTATATGTGGAATATAAAGCACAAAACTAATGAACAAACAAAATAGAAACAGACTCATAGATACGGTTGGGGAGCCTGGTGAAAAAGGAGAAGGGATTAAAAAGTACCGATTGCTCATTACAAAATAGTCAGAAGGTTGTAAAGTACAGCATAGAAAATACAGTTACTAATATTGTAATAACTGTGTTTGGTGCCAGGTGGGTACTTGAAATATCAAGGGACTTTATAAAGTATATAACTGCCTAACCACTATGCTGAACACCTGAAACTAATATAAAATAATATTGAATGTCAACTGCAATTGAAAAAAATATTTTTAAACAACTGGTAAACACAGTCCTTCCAAAGCTGTAGATTCCGGGAAAAACACACCTGGCTGCACAGATACTGAAGTGACTTCTCCACAAGACGGCACAGTAACTAGAGAGAAAAGAACAAAGCCGCGAGGGTCAGAGGGCGAGATGTGAAACATTGCCTCGCGGCAATAACTGAGGAACTGGCGCAATGGAATCCTGTGCTCCCTTCTTCCCTCATAGCTGCTTTCTTATGATGCCCCTAGTACCCCCACCTTTCCTGAAAATGCACATGTTCCTGTGTGTGTGCACCATTTCCCACAGGGACTGCAGTGCCTCACATGCACTGGGTCCAGAGCAAGGTACTAAGGAAGCTTCACATCACTGGTACAAATATTTAGACATTACAATCAAGCTAACAAACTGTTAAGTAAAATATCTTCTACCCTCCAAGTGTGATAAATATGCTCCTATGGCAATACAATTTTTAAAACTTTGTGTAAAGCTATAATTTTTATATGACCAAATATAAACAAAATTCCACAGGCAACTAAATGTCAATATTATTGCACATCTGAGTATTCTGGGATGGACCAGAATTGTTTGGATGAATATCAATAGAGACATCCCTAAGTCATGCATTTTAATTATTCTGTAACAATTTGTTGTTCTTCCTAAACTCTAGCAAAATCATGAATCATGCTGATATCACCAAGATTGTTACACAATTTGTGTTCTATTGATAGTAATGTCAAATTAAATGACTTTTCATAACTCACTCTTAGATAGGTTCTTACTCTTTGCAATTTGAAAAAACCTTCCTTGTGTGGAAGCAGTAGCTACAAGGAATCATCAATGAAAATATTAAGGCAATACGTGGCCTCAGAAATGATCCATAAACTTTACATCCCATGTTTGATCATTGTAATGGGGTCACCTGGGTTAAATTATTTATATAATCTAAAATATTAAAAAATATTTTAATTTTTTTTTCATTAAAATCACTTATAGCACAATACCTACTGTCTCTTAAAGTTATATTTAGACCCTTGTGGTATTTAATTTCTATTTCCTTGAATTTTTTAATGCAATATAATGAGAAAACTGAAAATTGTATTTTGCTCACATTGTTTAAATCTCTCTTAATTTAAGACTATATCTTCAACCAAAATGGCTGGAAGATAATCCCCATAGGAAATTAGTGTCAGGACTACTTATATGGCTCATCTCGGGGCCTGGTACACGGCCGCCATTCTGCTCATCTGCCTTCAGTTTGACTTCTTATTCCTGGAAGTATATTTCCAGAACCCAAGCTTCATTCCATTCTCTCGCTAGATTGGTAGTTTACCTATGTATACAATTCCACAGTTGTTTCTATTCAGAATATTAAAGAAATTGTGTCACTGGCCTCTCGCATTGATGTCAGGAAGTACAATTTGGCTTCCAGATCCTTCATATGTGACCTGTTTGATTATTCTCAAAACTTTTAGAATATTGTTTTCCCAGACATGGCTGGCTTTTTCATTATCCAGTTTTCCACTGACCTCTTAAGGGACTTTTCTTTCTTTCTTAATACGTTTTTATGGATTTCAGAGAGGAAGGGAGAGAGAGAAAAATCAATAATGAGAGAGAATCATTGATTTGCTGCCTCCTGCACACCCCACACTGGGAATCGAACCTGAAACCCGGGCACATGCCCTGATTGGAACAGAACTGATTGTCGGGTTCACAGAAGGACACTTTAGCACTGAGCCACGTTGGCTGGGCTCAAGAGACCTTTTTTGATCAGGCAATCAAACAAGCTCCCACATGTCACTCCCACGTCACCAAGTTTTATTTTCATCCAAGTATTTATTGCTAACTAATATATTCTTGTTTTGCACTCTTCTATACTGTATTTTTTTTTTCAGCTGAGTAAACTATAAGCTCCACAAGAGTTTGTTCACTTCTCAATCCCCAATGCCTAGGATAGTGAAGAGATATCAATAAATGTTTACTGAATCAATGAATGAAAGCCTGTAAACTAGCACTACAAACAGAAGTAGAGTAAGAGTGGCCTTTTGATTAACATTCCTAAATTACGTAAAACAGGATCATGTCTAGGACCCCAACTTTGTCACATTTACTGCAAACATGTCTTCTGGCCATAGTGAATTATAAACCAGGAGCCCTGAAACTTAAAACTAAAATCATGCTGGAAATATCGATGGGACACTATATAAAGTATATGATGGTCTAACCATAAGCAATAGACCTGAAACCAATACAAAATAAAATTGGAGGGGTGGGGGGGGCAGGTAGAAATTTTTTAAAAAAAAAAAAAGATAAAAAAATTAAAATCAAACTTTTGAACATTTCCATTTTTTTTGGCTTCAGACAGCAATTCTCTGGAGCCAAATTATTTTATTTCCCCTACAAAAAAATGTATATTTATTAAGTTAAGAGTCAATGTCATCTTGGTTCCAGTAGAGCAGTGACATGAAGAATATAATTCAGCATGAGACGTAAAAGTACAGACTTCAACATCAGAGGACCTCAGTTCTAATCCAAGCTTGGCCATTTAGGATCTGAGTGTCCTTGCATTTGTTATTTAACCTCTCTAAGCCATAGTCTCCTCATTATAACACTACTTGTCTCCTTGGCTACTATGAGGAAAAATGATATCATTCACCTAAAACTTAGGTGTGGTCCTTGAGCACTTAATAAATGTTAGTTGTAATTATTATGAGAAATCATCTATTTGAACATTTCCATATTCTTTCCAAAATCTTGCCTGAAAGCATCCTTCATTACATTGCATGAAATTATTTTCTCTCACAAATTGCCTCTTCAAATGCACTTGAGATTTTCCTTAAGCAGCTGGAGAAGTATATGATTAACCATGCTTTGTTTGCAGAAGGAAATTCAGTTCATTTTCCATAATGACCTTTTCAGATATCTTTTTTCTACCTTTTTCTCCGTTGGCTGGCTTTCTTTTGATTTGATTTTTTAAATTGTGATCTTTTGTATTGCTTTTAACTTTGTAGCTTGTGAATGTCATTTGCGAGCTGAATGACCCTGGAGAGGTTATTTAACATCTAGAGCTTCACTTTCTAGGTCTGTCAAATGAGAATTGCTGTGGACAACAATGACACTATCACCCCAGCATCCTTTTCAATGCTCACCCCTCTACAGCATTATATTCCCTGGGGGCCCTATAAGGGGCCCAACCCTCTAAGCACTTGGATCAGTCTAGAAGTAAACATCTAATGCAACTGGATCAAGAAGACCCTTGCCAGGAATTCTGTATTTAAGACTGAAAGAGTCAGGTCAATGTCCTTTTGTAGCTGAAACTGTAAGACATAAATCTCAGGAGCTGCTAGTGTCTGCGCTTCACACTTATTTGGGAGTTGGTACATAGTGAAGAAGAGCATGCAAAGAGGAGAAGAAGGGGGGGTCCTGATAGTTCTCATGGTCCCTAGGCTCTTGCTTTTCCTATAGTTGGGCTATTCCATTAGACATCCCACTATCTTTCCAATAAATTCTCCTTTTGGCATACATAACTAGGATTTGATTCCCATCACTTGAAACTGAAATATCCCTATTATAAAGAAAACAAGCCGAAACCAGTTTGGCTCAGTGGATAGAGCATCGGCCTGCAGACTGAGAGGTCCCATGTTCGATTCCGGTCAAGGGCATGTACCTGGGTTGCGGGCACATCCCCAGTGGGGAGTGTGCAGGAGGCAGCTGGTCGATGTTTCTCTCTCATCGATGTTTCTAACTCTCTCCTTTCCTCTCTGTAAAAACTCAATACAATATATATATATGCCATGTGCTTCCCACACACATTTAAAAAACTAACTCTCTCCTTTCCTCTCTGTAAAAACTCAAGAATTTAAAAATTCTTTTAAAAAAAGAATGCCATGTGCTTCCCACACACATTTTAAAAAAAAGAAAGAAAGAAAGAAAACAAACCCTATTTTGGATAGGTATTATAGAAAGTAAATGATATAAAATATTTAAGTGCCTAGCATGTAACCTGGAATATAATATTTGTTCAAGCAATAATACCTATTGACATTATTTAGAAGATGGGAATACAAATTCTAAGTCGATTTAATTACTGAAAATAATTTTAATAGCTTACACATCTTCTTTCTTTTTACAGTTTCAAAATCACTCAAAGGTATTACTTGATTTCAAATACGGAAAGAATAGCAAAATAAGAGAAATGCTTTGATTCATGTTGCTACATATGATTGTATAAGTCTAAGTGATTTTTACATAGCTAAACAATCTTAGAGAATAGTGAAGCCTCAATGTCTTGCTTAACTCACTTGCTTAGAGTAAACATAGGGAGGGAAAGGGGAAAATAATGCAGACTTAACTTTAATTATCCCACATATACAGGAGTAAGTCTGACCCATTTAAACGTACAAAATACTGACATGGTTGTATTCACAACAATCATCACATAGTGTAAAGGATCAGTGAGTAAAAAGAAAATGGAATTCCCATACCTGTAGAGATACCACACTGACATTATCAAAATGGATGTGTCCATTAGGCTCTGTGACAGCTGGGTTTGTTATAAGAAGAAAAAAGATGGCTCATATAAACAAGAAAATAGAGGTCGGTGCTTTTTATCCACAAGAGAGCATTGTTATGTCTATTCTGTGTGTACCCTAACCTTTTTAGATTTTTAAGATTTCTCTACCTTTAAAAATATCCTCATTTATTAGTCTGCTGTGTCTGTTTTCTCATGTTAGAGCATATATGCCTTCTTATTCTATTGAATATGAATAGAATACATCTGTTATTCAACATTAAATTATTAGTACTAACTTCAAATTCTACAATATAAACCAAGTGTGTCTCTTATACTTATCAATATATTGACTCTTTTCTTTGTCCTCACATTCACAAATCTAATACATGAACAGTTCATAAAATTCTAAGAATAAAATTCCTTCCTTTATTCGCCTTTATAAAGTAGCTTTGGCAGGTATAATAGCAAAAGTTTTAAATAAAGCCCATTTACCTGACCATATGTCTTTAATAACATCTTAAGCATTCTTTCAAAAAAGAAAAGTAAATAAAAGCCACCAAATACAGCAACAGCCTTCTCAACATAGTTGTCAGTTTTAGGATTGAATCCAAATGCCTGGGGAGGGAAAAAAAGGGGGGGCAAATCAGGTAAAACCAAGTAATATTACTTGATTTCTAGCAAATAATACCAAAATTTCTCAGTAGTCAATTTTCACTGTAGTTCTATGCCCATCTTCACATCCAGCTAATATTGAGAACTTACCTGCCAAAATCACAAAACAAAAATTCAAGTACGCAAACTGTAAGAGATGTTTTAGAAACCTCATGACCAGCGGATGCTCCAGTAAACAAAACCTGAGTATCTTGTTTCCTAGCTCCAACACCTGCAGTAATAAGTTCCTTGAAAGTGGAAACTTTAGTGGTAAAGAAGCAGCACTAAATCCCACATCTGTAAGGTAGCATTAGATCTAGGTAATAAGGATACCAGTAGATGAAACATTATTTGCTTTCTCTAAAAAATATATATTTGTCTATCGTATCCAGAGTCAAATATTTTTATATTTTTTAATTGATTTCAGAGAGGAAAAGAGAGGGAGAGAGAGATAGAAACATCAATGATGAGAGAAATCATTGATTGGCTGCCTCCTGCATATCCCCCCACTGGGGATTGAGCCCATAACCCAGGCATGTGCCCTTCACCAGAATCGAACCTGGAATGCTTCAGTCTGCAGGCTGACACTCTAGCCACTGAGCCAAACCAGCTAGGGCCAAAGTCAAATTTTTAAAGCAATACAGCAAGCCACTTGGATTACTGTTTTCCCACAGGAGATCCTCTTGAACCTAGAGGATCCCAATAAGACCTAATGAAATTCAATAAATTAAGAATTGGGCCCAAGAATAAAGAAGAAAAGATTTAAGATGCCAGGCAAGCACGTGCACACACACACACACACACAGACGAGTATGAGAATTTATTGTTTAAAGAACATAGGATAAGAATTGGAGTTTGAAATTATAAAGAGTAGAGATATTTCTAACAGACAAGAAACACAAGCTTAAAATAAATAAAATAAGAGGAGAAAGCTTGACACCATTCCAGACATTGTAAATCTTCCCTCTGAAGAGCAACCAGAATAGAGGATGCCTTGGTTCTTGTTCTATGACTGACTCTGGGAAGAGCTCAAAGCCACATCTTCATTTGACTGACTTCTCTACGCTTATTAATACAGTGAAAAAACTGGCACAAAGACACCTACTCTACATATGTAACACAGAGGTTATGAAAACCAAATGAAGTAAAAAAAGGGAAAGAATTTTGCCAAAAGAAGAAATAACTATCTGTGGAAATTTGAGGTAATATTACAAAGACAGATTATCTAGTGCTTATATAATTTTCTTTTTACAGCCACAATTACTTAATTATCACCTACAGGCAAAAGGACATCCACAAATGCTATTGAAGGAGTTTCTTATTTTCCTAAGACATTTCTTACGTATTACTACATTTTCAATAAAATAGAAAACCTCAAAAATCATAAATGTGGAATCCCCAGTCCATACACAATATCAGTTTTTAAATTTAATTTGATCCAAATTTCAGATAAGTTAATATATACACATATAATATTATATTGTATTAAATATATTGCATGTATAATGTTACACATAAAATTATTAATTAGAAAATCTGTATTGTCATACTAGTTTTGTTGCTAGCTGATTGTATTGCTAGTTGAGATGACCTTTCTAGTTCCTTTCTAGATAAAATGATAACAATAACAACAATCATAAGTCTATGACTCTAAGAAAATCCCCAATTTCATATATAGCTGTGAAAATTAAAAGAAGCTTTAGTTATAATTTTCTAAAAATTATGAGATAAGAATAATACCCTGAACTACTATTATTTTCTCTGCTCAAGACTCACCCACCCATCTTTGTGTGTACATTGGGGGTGGAGGAGATACAGTCCATCTATGTATATAAAACCCTAAGTGACCGGTCCACCATTTAACTGGTCAACCATTTGACTGGTCGCTATGACACACATTGACCACCAGGGGGAAGATGCTCAACGCAGGAGCTGCCCCCTGGTGGTCAGTGCGTTCCCACAGTGGGAGCACCACTCAGCTGACTGATGGGCGACCCCTGGCTCATAGCTGGTGAGGCGAGAGCCTCTCCGCCTCTGCAGCAGTGCTACCTGGTGGTGGCAGCAGGAGCAGCAGGGCCAGATTGAGCAGGAACAGCCCGGTGCCCAGCTTGGGCTCGACTCCTCTCCGGTCGCCTGCTGCTTCATGCACTACTACATCCCTTAGGGGATATCAGACTTCCAGTTTTGGCCTGATCCCTGCGGGCCAAAACCAGAAGTCCAGTATTCCCCAAGGGATCCTGGATTGTGAGAGGGCACAGGCCAGGCTGAGGGACCCCACCAATGCACGAATCCATGCACTGGGCCTCTAGTGTGTATATATTTCCCTAGCTCCCCTTCCTCCTACTAATGTCTCTTTCTCTTTCCCCTCTCTTCCCTCTCAATTATTTTCCTTCCTCTTTCTCCCTTATACTGGCTGGCCATAATATAGATATAAAATAAAACATATGTTATGTGTTGATTAACTGAATAATGCACTATTGTCAATGTCAGATCAATAATACATCTTACGAAAAGGAAAAAATAAGCTGCTGTTTATTCATTGACCTCAATTGATTTTTTTTCCACAGTCAAAAGAAAATGAAAAGGTCTGTCAACCACACTCTTATTGATCCTCTGGTCTTCAGTAACTGTAGTAAATATATAAGAAAATTATATGGTATAGCTTCAGTAAATTTGACATTGCATGCTCTTTAGATAAATAAATAAATAACTGAAGTATTAGAGAAATTAAATTTTCCAAAAGCAGGATAGAACAAAATGTTAAGGCCCTATCTGAGCACATCCTGGTGGCTGGTCTCTAGGAATATTAATTTTATCTCTGACACTGACATTCCCTGAAGCTTCAGACACGTTTTTTTCATTTGCTGTGATTCCGCTCTTTTATTCAAAACACCATAAACCAGACCATAAAATTCTGTGAGAATCATGGAGGTTTAAAATGTGCAAAGTGCTAAAAACATTTTAAAGAAACAATTATTCACAGAAACAGGTAGCTAACACCCTTACCTCTGGAATAAGTTGGAAAATTGCATTTGAAAATAGAGTCCCAATAGCCAGCCCCACAAAATAGGTCAAAATCTTGGGGAAATAAGATTTCTTTATCAACGGAGTCAAAACCAATCCGAGGAGAGATGCCAGATTAATGATTGTCACTGACAGGAATCCATATCCCCATACTGTGAATGAGAGGGACAGAGGAGCAATTAATCAGAGCAAAGGAGCCAAATGGAGACTTACTCTCCATTAAACCTGAAACACATTTCTTCTTTAAAAGCTTGAGACCGATTTCTTCTTGCAAAGAACAAAATCATCTCAGTGAAAATTATACAGAAAATTGAGACCACATAGCATAATAAATATTAATAGAAACACTGCCTATGCCTTCACCACTCTTAAGTCATCATTACGGGATCACAGAATTGTACAGCTTGCAGAGAATTTGCATAAGACCTAGAATAGTGACCATCTGAGGTCAACAGACTTCAAGCCACCTACTTTTATCTATTGGTTCATGGCCTAGTTAAAACTCAGCCTTTCAGAGGAATATAGAGGTCATGTGAGTTTCAGGGGAAAGGTATGGTAGCTTTGCCTGTGGCCCACACACACTGTGCAGAGACAATGTGAAAGATTAGAAAGCTGCCTCTACATTGCCACTTCTTTGTCCAGAATTTTTAAACCATGGGCCACTTTTCTCATGGACACTATCAGTTGAGTAGCATAGTAACACTTAATGCTTAGTGAGTGTTCACCATGTGCCAGGCACTGTGCTGAGCGACTAACATGTATTAATTCATTTGATCCTCACAAAACCCTATGAGGTAAGTACTATTATCTCTTCCATACAGTTGAAACCAAAGCATATGGAGTTCAAATGAGCTGCCCAAGTCAGGCAGATCGAAAATCCTGCAGATTTCAAACCCAGACAGTTTGTCTTCAGGGCCCACATTTTTTTTGGCAATATGTTTCATTATTCCTGTGGCGGTAATTTAATTTTTAAGAAGCCCATGGGGCTCAACAAAACTAAACATTTTATTATATGCTTTATGAATGTAAGAGTTTTCACCATTATTCTGGTTCAAGTGAGTCTATCTATAAATAAGCAATCTTAGCAAATGTTTATGGAGCCCAGGATGCAAACCATGATTCCTGCCAACGAGCAGCTTGGATCTTTTGCTTGGGGAGCTGAGAAATGTGAAGAAACACCCATGTGCAAAGCAATATAAGGTAGCCTGTGTTGAGTACCAAGTAACAGGTAATAAATGTTACTATGTCATCACAAGAATCATCACAGCACTAACCATGACTTTATCTTCCCCACTTTCCTATCAGTTCAAGACTCCCGACCATGTCCTACAAAGTCATCTCATTGGACCTACAAAGATCCACCTCATTCCCATTTACTATCTTATCACCGCAAACAGCAATATCTACTCTCCTCAGACTTTCCACATAGAGAAAGTTCTCAATCCCACATCCTCCTCCATGATATATCTATGTGTAGTTTCCCTTCATATGAACAGCTTTCTATCTCATCACTAGCCTACATTCATTCACTCATTCAATCAATATTTATAATTTCATTGGGTAGACAGATGCATACCTGTTGAAACTAAAATTAAAATGCAGAGATGTTTTTGAGTAGCAAATAAAGGCAAAGCCACATACAGATATTAAACTCATCATCTGCCCCTGAGAAATCCCTTACCCTTGTTCACTACCTTCTTAAATAGCAGAAATGTTGGGATCAATTTCAATTGCTCACTCTCCACCACTCAATTCCATACATGATTGGTGATCAAACTCTATCAATTCTGCTTGAGATCTCTCACTCCAGCTTCTCCATCCTCATTACCGATACCTTGAGTTCAGGCCCTCAACCTTGAGTTCAGGCCCTCACTATCTCTAACTCCTTCATCTAATGCAATATGACAGTTTCCTGTGTGCCCTTCCTCCCCTACTTGACATGACCACCCGACTCATTATTCTAAAACACAACTCTGATCACCTCATACCCCTATTTGATACCACCCTTCATCAACTGAATCCCATAGAGCCTCACTGGTGTTATTTACACCCTTATCAACATGCCTTTATGCAGACACAATGTTTTCCAAATACAGAATTACCTTTACTTGTGGCTCTCTATCTGGAAATATGACTTTATCTTCATTGTGTGAGAAACTCACACAGGGTTCTCCAAGCCAACTCGAAGACCTCCTCTATAAAGCTTCCCTAGCTCCTCCAGGCATCAGTGCTTTGCTTGTCAAGCTTTCTATAGCTCTTTGAAGTTAATTGGGCCACTTACCATTTCTTATGTGCGATAGTGATTTTATCATTTACATATTTGTCTATATCATATAAATTATGAGATTTTCAAGGAGGGGGCTATGTTATATTCACCTTCAGTGCTTAGCAAATAACACAAATTCCTTGAAAAATGAATTAATGAAACCCATACTTTAAAATGCAGCCCAGACGTCTGTCAAAAAATATCAATTCATCTGCTTATTTAATCTTTCTAACTCTCCTTAATATTGTGCATGTTTATGAGAACCACTTGGGGAACTTTGCAAGTGTGAATCGCCACTCTTTTAGGCACACTACTTAGTTTCCCCTCCTTTCATTGTTAGGACATTACTGGGGGCCAGGGGAAGGGAAATCCATCATCTACTCAACTACAGCATCAAAGAATGAATTAGTATAAAAATATTCTTTGGATCTCTCCATATACAAATAGGACTTCCTCTAATGATCTGTTTCAGACTTTCTGATTCTTAGTGAATGTGGAAAAATTTTAATACATTTCCAGGGAATATTAGTGACAATAGTTAACATTTATTGAATGCCAATATGTGTGAAAATTCTTCTAAAAACTTTACCTATTTTTTTAATTTTTCTATTTAATAGATTATTTTTTACAGGAATAACATAAAGCCAGTTACACATAGCCCCTGGAATACAGTCAAGTCTTCAATAAATGTTATCATTATTTTTAAAAAAAATAGTAAGTAGACCAGCATATTTTAGTTCCATTAGTTCACTGTTGTACAGTGAAAGAACCACAGACTAGGAGTTAGGAGCCCTGGACTTGCATCCCTCCTCAGGTACTGTCCCTAAGGAAAGCCTTTAATCTCTCTGGAGCTTGAGACTTATGTCATTGGGTTGCACTATGCAGTCTGGACTATGTGAGCTCCAGGGATGCTACAAGTAAAATTCAATTATTATTATTATTATCTATTATTTAAATTAAATAGCATTATATGACTTCATCAAAAAATTAGACAATTTTGGACCATTAAATGATTGTTAAAATTTATATCACCTAGAGAATTTAATTTACCATCCATTTGCTGCATTCATTCATTTCATGACTTTGAAGTGTTGTCCTTAGAATTCTCTCACTTCATGTCCCCACTGCCTATTCCTACCTCCTGGTTCCTAAGATAGAGTAAACCTGAGAATTGAGGTTACAAACACTTTTGAACATCAGAAATTAACCTTCACAGAGTAGAGGGTTTGCTTTTACTAAAGCCTCACCTCCTGTACTCACAATTATGTCTGTTACACATATTTTATTTAGGAGACATATATATAGTGCCTAACCACATGCCAGATAGCATTCTAAATGTTTTGCCAATATTAAGTTAGAAAATTACAGAGCTGGGATTTGACTTCAGATGGGCTGACTTCAGAATCTATGCCTTTACTTTGCTATACAATCTGTACTGAAATTAAACAGATTTATGGGAATACAAACATACTCCCATTTAGTATATATTCTATTAAAAATATGTTTGAACAATTAGCTCTAAAATTATTGTTATTCACAAAAATGATAATTGTATTGACAAAGTATACTTAGTGATTTCTATTCCTTTTATATGTAAACATAGAATATAAAAGATAATGTGGACCCAGTCGGTGTGACTCAGTGGTTGAACGTCACCTATGAACCAGGAGGTCACAGTTCAATTCCTGTTCAAGGTACATACCCGGATTTTGGGAGATCAACCAAAGGACTTGTATGCATGCATATGAGCATAACCAATGGACTCAGATAGTAGGGAGTGAGGGCATGTGCTAGGGAGAGGTCAATGGGGGGGAAAAGGAGACATATAAAATATACTTTAAAAATAAATAAATAAATAAAATGACATATCTCCAGCCTCAACCTATTTTCTGAGCTCTACATGTATGCATGCCATTGCCTACTGGATATCTCTCCTTGTTGGTCAACATCAATGCCTCAAACTGGCCATGTCTAAAACCATCCTCTTGATTATCACCACTGGCTTCCTTTATAACAAACTACTCCACCCCAGTCTTCATCCTGGGGAATGGCACAGCCATCTATCCACTTTCAAAGACTTAAACTTTGATTTATCATTCCCTCCTCCACATCCAAACCATTTTAGGACAGTCTCTGAAATCCACCCTGAATCTCCTCACTTCTCTTCACTCCTGCTTCTCCCACCTTAGCCCCAGACCCCATCATCCTGAATACCAACCCCTGGCAACAGCCTCCTGCCCAATCAGTCTCCATGCCTCTATTCTTGCCCCATGACCGGCTCTCCCCAAACTGCAGGTAGAACCATCTTTTACAAATCCAAATGAAATCATGTCCCTCTCCTGCTTAGAACCCTACAATGTCTTCATAGCACATTCAGAATAAAATCCAGTCAACTTACTGTACACTGCAAGGCCCCTGGGTCCCCCTCCTTCTGTCCTCCCTCCTGCTCACTATGCTCCAGGCACACAGACATTCTTGCTGATCCTTACACATGCCAAGCACATTCCCAAGCTTATGCTCACTGTTCCCTTGACCTTGCACGCTCTTTCCCCAAAGAAGATCTTGCCATGGCCCTCTCCTCCGACCTTAGCCAGGATTCAGTTCAAATGTAATCTCATCAGAAATGCCTCCCTTTTTTCATCTAAATTCACACACACTCACCATCTTCTTCTATTGTGACCTACTTTATTTTCTTCAAAGCATTTATCCCTCTGAAATCATATTATTTATCTGCTTGTTTGTGTAAATGTTTATTATGTTTATTCTCTACTACATTATAAGCCCTAAGAGGGCAGGATTTTTTTCTTCTTGCTTATGACTGAATCCTCGATACACAGAACAGTGCATGCCATGTCAATCAATAAACACTTATTGAATGAACAAATAAACAAAACAATCAGAATTAAAATATCCATGCAGGGCAGGGCAACAATTTGGGAATACCAAGAAATGGCACACAGCTAATAAATAGAGCCCCTGAACAATTGGTTTATCTCATTTGTGAAAGAACCCTTCATACTTAAGTGTGTGAACTATATTACATTGTAAACAAGCCCTTGTTTTCTTATATTTTAAAATTTCTTTGCAGCAGATTATTCTTTTAAAATGCTGTCTCTGTGACAATACCATTATAGGCACTTAAAACAGCCGCTGGTATTTTCTTTCATTTATGAAAATTATCTATATATATAAAAGCCTAAGTGACCGTTCCACCATTCAACCATTCTACTGGTAGCTATGATGTGCACTGACCACCAGGAGGAAGATAATCAATGCATAGGCATGGAAACATGGAACAGACTGATGAATCTCAGAGGGAAGAGGGAAAGGGGGAGGGCGGGAAAAGATTAACCAAAGATGTTACATGCATACTGGAGACCCGGTGCATGGATTCATGCACCAGTGGGGTCCCTCGGCCTGGCCTGCGGGAACTGGGCCGAAACTGGCAGTCTGACCATTCCCCCAAGGGGTCCCAGATTGTGAAAGGGTGCAGACCAGACCGAGGGACCCGACTGGTGCACAAATCTGTGCACCAGGCCTCTAGTAGTGGTCATAATTCAGTACTTTAAGATTTAATCTAGAGACACACTAGTTCTCTTATCTCTTTACTGACACTTATAGATAAATTGACAGGGTTTTTAATACTACTTAAAAGCACAATTTGATGGAAATTAACTGATCAATTTTAAGCTAGGTAGTTAATATGTAATCCAATGTATACAGCATAAAACATAAGTTTAAAATTAAGCATTGGGTTTTATAAAGTTTTTACATGGTTCCAAATATAATTTTAACTCCACAAATAGAAGAGTATAACTTAAGAAGTTTAAATGAGCTCTAATTATTCTTATCCTACATACTTCCAGAATATACGTACTTTACCAGGGGATTCTATGTAGAATAATAAAAGCAGAAAAGGGAAACATGTTAATGTCATTTCATACGACCCCATAAACCTTTCAAACAAATGGGAGGACAAGTTTCCAACATACCTTCGGAAAGACTTGGTTTTGAATTGTGTTTGGGCCGCTCATCACAGGGATGAAAGTTCAGTTGCTGTAGGACTGCTGGACAGATGACAGAGAAGTTTGAGCTGGTGATCTGCGTAGCATTTGAAAAGCCATGAAGGGAAAAGATCTCTTCAGCTGACAAACACTGAAATAGAAGAAACAAAGTAAACATATACATGTTAATACAGTAAAAGCACTCAAGCAAAGACACTATGAAGAGACACAGAATATTTCTTCTAGACACATAGCACTAACTCTTTATACAAAAGCCCACTCCAGAAATGTATAGATCCCTGAAAGTGTAAAATAGCCCACACTTCTTTTAACCTAGACACCATAAAAATAGCAAAAACCTTCTTGATCAACAGTCTACCTGTAGAAGCCTAAATGGCGAGAACTGGTTTGGAGGTTTCCAAGTGCTTTAAGACAAAAGGGCTTTAAGATGATTCAATATTCTCAGTGTTCCCTCTCTGTTCATCATTTGCTTGAATGTGTATTTTGTGTGAGCTATTGGAGTGGCTCTCTATAACATTTCCTGTAGACAAACACCAGGCTCACCTACAGTTTCACAATTAAAAGAGTATCCATCCTTCTAAACAGCAATAATAGCCCCATTATATAAAAGTTGTTTTAAAATATGTCTTTAGCACAAATGGTTGTTTGCTAAAACATGTATTTTGCTCAATGATGGTGGGTAGCTTTTTTATTTTATATAAAGTTTTGAAATAGTGATGTGCTGTTTAGAAAATCATTAACTATTAATGAGAAATAGAATCTTCATTAGGAAAGAATTCTCTGCAAAAAAAAATAATAACTTTTTAAAGGTATCATTTTACCCTAGGGCAAAATTTAACTGTAAACTATTTTCCATATACTCACTTTATTAAAACGAATATAAAAGAAATTAAATGTGTTACTATTGTTAGTAAGTGTTATAAGAATTATAGAGTGTGAAAACATCTATTCACTCAAATAGAAGAGTCTGTTTTTAATAAGTGCAACTGACAGCATTTTTTTTGCATACTTCAGCCAATATTTAAACCCTGCTGAGATCTTAACTTTGTAAAATAAACTGGATTGATTCCTCCTAGATTTCATATAATGAAGCCCTATCCTCCAGTGTGGAGATTTTTGGAGGTAATTAGGGTTAGCTAAAGTCATGAGGGTGAGGCCCTGCTCCAATAAGATTAGTAGACTTATATAAAGTCACAGAGAGAGGATGTAGCAAGAAAGTAGTCGTCTACGATCCAAGGAGAGAGCTCTAAACAGAAACCAATCCTCTGTCACCTCTAATAGTCTCCAGAATTGTGAGAAAATAAACTTCTGTTATTTAAGCCACCCAGTTGATAGTATTTTGTTATAGCAACCTATGCTGACTAATCTGATTGATATTGAGAACTCAAAAGTCTTTGTTAAGTGTTTGACCATAAGTGCTGTAACTCTATTCACAGAAGGAACAATGAAACTAAAACTGTAAAATTTTTATTATAGGAGATCACTACTGATTTTGAAGGAAAGATGAAAAACATCAAATACACCAAGATGTTTGGAGTTGTCAAAAGCTAAGAGTACAGTTGCCTTAAAGAAAATACACATTTAGACCTCTCTTTTTTTAATGTCTAAGTATATGCCTACAGCTGTTTCTTATTCAACTCATGCTCTCCTTTGAGTTCATGACAATGATAGCTGTGTGCCATCCCCAGAAGAGGGGACAGTACACTCAGCGCTTTGTTAACAGTCTTCCCTTCGGTGAGAATGGGGTATAATAAACTAATGAAGGGAGAATAAGCTTGATAGCCAACTGGGGAGGGGAAAGTGAGTATAGTCTATTCATTACCATGAAACTACACGGAAGCATAATTGCTAGGCTCAAAAATTACAGAGTCCACGAGTTCCAACTGCCCACTGCATGATTCCAGGAATAAATAGGTGTAGTAGGACAAACACAAAGCAGCACTGTGTCCCTGCAAGGAAGTCTTCACCTACCTGGACTTCAGGTTCCTCCAACTATAAAATAAGAGGAAAGGGGGAAGCTGCCAATAGGTCATTTCCAAAGCCTTCTCCGAATTAATATTCTAAGGTGTCCTAAAACTTAATGACTGCTAAGCAGTTCTTTTCAGACTCCTATTGTGACCTGTTAGTGGGTCAGGAAGTTCACTTACAGTCAGCATCTTATAAGGAAGTAAAAAAAAAAAAAACAACATAATAGAAACTATAGAGTGTACCACACATAACTAGGATAAGTGTTGCTGGATCAAATTTTACTTCAGCTATACATTATACATACCATGCACCTGTACATGGGAGCACATGCCAAATTTATTTTCTACCAGCTGTGTGAAAAGGATAAAGGGATTAAGAAGTACAAATTGGCAGTTATAAAATAGTCATTAGGATGTAAAGTACAACACAGGGAGTATAGTCAATGATATTGTCATAGCTACACACTGTGTTAGGGGAGTACTAGACTTATTAGGGGGATCACTTTGTAAGTTATGTAAATGTATAACCACTTTACTGTACACTTGAAATTAATAAACTATTGAATGTCAACTGTAAGTGAAAATCTTTTTTAATTCTTTTAATTTAAAAAAATCATTTTTTACTATAAGGGCAGTCAAATGTTTGAAAAACCCACTGCCCTTAAGGATTCTCAAATTGCCTGTTGTACATCCTTAAACACACTCTCCTACATACAGTTAGAATAAAAGATAATCAAAGGAATCTACACTAATAAAAGAGAAAGATGCAAATTGACCATACCTTCGTGATGCTCACCAGCCAATCAGGAGTGAGTATGCAAATTTACCCAACAAAGATGGTGGGGCTTATCATAACAACTGAGCGGCCAGGGGTGGGGCAGGATGCTTGCATCATCGCCATGGCGACAATGCAGGCGTTTTGCACAGCCCCAGCCGCTCCGGGCCTCTAGGCAGTGTGGGAAGGTGGAAAGGTGGCTCTGGCCAGAGCAAAGGTGGTGCCGGTAGCCAGGGAAAGGAAGGCCCATTCTTGCACAAATCTTCGTGCATCGGGTCTCTAGTAAATAATACTGTAAGTTAGCTTAGAGTCTTGATGATCTGTGCAGCATCTGAGTGGATATTTTGGTTGGCAGGCACTCAAAGATAATAACACTGACAGTGGCAAATGCTCAATCTCAAAAAAGAGTAAGTAGGTGGAGAGATGACAGAACTTTAGATCTTCCCTTACATTATGAGAATGAGAATAGAATATTAAGGGATATTATTAGTATGGCAAAATAAAAATAATGCAGCCCTGATTTATTCAAAATAGCTATATACCAGCAAGTAAAATGCAAATAATTTTATACAGCAGCCTAATTTGGCTTTAAATAACTTTGATTTTATTTCATTTTTATTTATTTTATTCTTTTGACTCCCTTTACCTATTTCTCCCACCCTCTACCTCCCACCTCTGTCAACACAGATCTGCTCTCTATATCTGTGAGCTTGTTTTTGTTTTGTTTGTTTTATATTCTACATATAGGAGAGGTCATATGGTATTTGTCTTTTCCTGACTTATTTCACTTAGCATAATGTAGTCAAGATCTACCCATGTTATCACAAATGGTATGATTTCTGTCTTCTTTATGGCTGAGTAATATTCCACTGTATATATGTACCACCTCATTTTTCTCCATTCATCCATCAATGGACACTCAGGTTGCTTCCCTGGCTTGGCAATTGTACTAGTAAATGATGCTGTAATGAACATGAGGGCACATATATCTAGTGTTTTTGTTTTCTTCAGATAAATATCCAGAAATAGAATTGCTGAATATATGGTAGTTCTATTTTTTATTTTTGGGGGAACCTTCATACTCTTTCCATAGTGGCTGCACCAATTTACATTCCCACCAACAGTGCACAGGGTTCCTTTACTCCACATCCTCACCAACATTTGTTATTTCTTGTCTTTCTGATAATAGCCACTATGTGAGGTGATACCTCATTGTGGTTTTGATTTGCATTTCCTGATGATTAATGATGTGAACAACTTTTCTTGTGCCTGTTAGCCATCTGTGTGTCTTCTTCAGAAAATGTCTAGTCACATCTTCTGCACATTTTTTAATCGAACTATTTGGTGGTTTCCTTTGCTGTGCAGAAGCTTTTGGGTTTGATGTGTCCCCTTTTTTTCTATTGTTACTTTTGCTTTTAGTGTCAGATTCAAAAATTGTTGCCAAGACCTTTGTCAAGGAGCTTACTACCTAGGTTTTCTTCTAGGAGTTTTATGGTTTCTGCTCTTAGCATTCAAATATTTAACCCATTCTGAGTTAATTTAGGCATATGGTGTAAGATAGTGGTCAAGTTTCATCCTTTTGCATGTAGCTGAGCAGTTTTCCAAACACCATTTATTAAAGAGAGCGTCCTTTCCCCATTGTATATTCTTGGCTCCATTATTATAAATTAGTTGACCATATATGCATGGTTTCATTTCTGGGCTTTCTATTCTGTTCCATTGACCTCTGTGTCTGTCTTTATGCCAATGCCACACTGTATTTAATTACTATAGCTTTGTCATGTAGTCTAAAGACAGGAATGTGATGCCTCCAGCTTTGTTCTTTCTCAAAATTGTTTTGGCTGTTCAGGGGTTTGTTTTGTGGTTCTCTACAGATTTTAGGATTAGATTTATATTTTTGTAAAAATGACACTGGCATTTTAATAGGAAGTGTATTGAATCTATAGATTGCTTTGGATAGGAAGAACATTTTAACAATATTGATTCTTCCAATCCATAAGCACAGGATATCTTGCATTTATTTGTGTTTTCTTCAATTTCTTTCATTAATGTCTTTTAGTTTTAAATATATAGGTCTTTCCCCTCTTTTATTAAATTTATCCCTAGGTGTTTTATTCTTTTTAATGCAATTGTAAATAGAATTATTATCTTAATTTCTCTCTTTGATAGTTTGTTATTAGTGTGCAGAAATGCAACAGATTTTGTGCACTGATTTTTATTATGCTTTGATTTAAGCAAGTTGAACTTGAAACAAAGAAAGCAGTTGTCTAAGAAAGGGCAGTGTTGCCCTGACCGGTTTGGCTCAGTGGTCAGCCTGTGGTCTGAAGGGTCGCCGGTTCAATTCCTGATCAAGGGTACATACCTCGGTTGCATGCTCGACCCTTGGCCCCCGGTCGGGGTGTGAATAGAAGATAACCAATCCATATATCTCTCTCTCTCCCCACTTTCTCCTTCCCCTCCATCCTCTCTCTAAAAATAAATGGGGGCAGTGTTCCCCAGGGCAGGTACAAACAGGATGACAACCAGAGTTGTGAGAGCAATAAAACCAGTAGAACCACTAAGGAAGTTCAAACATCCTCTCAAACACACCCCATTCACCTCCAAAACAAACAATGAATATATTTTTAAACTGTGGGATTCACAGTACTCAGGAAACAGCTCAGGGTGATTAGCCAGAATAGTATGTGCCTTAAAAGAAACTTCATAAGCTTTCAACATCTTCCAGTTGACATACTGAGCTTTTCTTCTATGTGTTTTTACAATACTGCTGTTCTCAAGAGTGTGCTTGATGCTTGCTCTAGCCTCTTGAACCTTGTGCTATCAGAGGCAAACTCCCTTGATGCCCTAATGTTCAGTGGGTTGACTTTTTCCTAAAGGCATACATTAGTCTCTTGTCACCGTAAGGTGATCTCAAATGGGCCTTATACAAACAACAAACCAAAGGAAAGTAGTAGGAGCCTATCAGAAATGAGATCTCAAATTATATTCAAAATCATTTTCCC